TTCAGTAACTCTTGGCTTCCAAATCCCAGTTTGTTTTGAGCACAATATCTTGTTTTACAGATCTGTACAAAAATGGATTACAGAGGGTGAACTTTGTGTATTATCTAATACACTTAGTGCAGTGTTTTTATTGGTGTTATGTTGTGTACTTAAAGGAATAGTTCACCCAAAAATGAAAATTTGCTGAAACTTTACTCACCCTCAGGCCGTCCAAGATGTAGATGAGTTTGTTTCTTCAACAGAACAGATTTGGAGAAATGTAGCATTCCATCACTTGCTCAAGAATGGATGCTCTGCAGTGAATGGGTGCCGTCAGAATGAGAGTCGCAACAGCTGATTACATCACAATAACCCATAAGTAATCCACACCACTCCAGCACACCAATTATTGTCTTGTGAAGCCAAAACATTTTTTTTATTGTGATGTTTTTAATCAGCAGTTTGGACTCTCAGTCTGACGGCACCCATTCACTGCAGAGGATCCATTGGTGAGCAAGTGATGAAATTATAAATTTCTTCAAATCTGTTCTGATGAAGAAACAAACTCATCTACATCTTTGATGGCCTATGGGTGACAAAAATTTTGGCAAGTTTTCACTTTTGGGAATAAGGTCAAAAGAGTGATAATGCGTGTTAAATTACTTTCTGTTATAAGTGCTGCAAATAAATCAGCGGTCAAATGTCTTGTAAACAGGAGTACTGCCAAACACTGCGTCTGGATTCTGGAATAGATTATCAGAGAAGAAATCGCCCTGCAGCTGGGAAACTCTTCTACCTGTGAGAAAATTAATTAAGTTGTACAAAATGGGATGTTACTGTATTAGTGATGCACTTTTAATCAGTTATGGAAGTTGACTACGTTCTTTAATCAAAGACCTGCATCTTAAAAAGTATTCCTGAAGTGTTTAAAGCTGATGTGTAAAATTTCTGCACCACTAATCTTACCAAAAAGAGCTACAGAAATAATGATAGTTTTCAAACAATCCAAACATGCACCATTAGATGAGTCACTGTTGCTTAGGCAAGTCAGGATGTGCCATATTTTAAATATCATCATGTGATTTGCTTCTGTTGTCCTTTCATATTAAGATGGGGCATTAAAAATAATTTTAACATCCAAAACATGACATGCTTTGCTTAAACAGTTGTAAATGTTAGTGCTTTGACCAAGTATGAGTAAATAAAAGCATTGTATTATGAAGTGATGAATTATTTATTGAATATTTTTTAATCTAGTTCCAGTGAACCTGATGTTGATGCAACACTCGATATACTGTTTGATGAGATGGCCTTCAAACAGAATGACAGTAAGTTGGCTGCTAATGTGTTTGCTAAATAGCAAAACACTCATTTAATTAGCTGATGGTTTATCAGTAAAAACACCCTAACAAAAGAAGTTCAATGCAGCTTGTTAGATGACATATTGCTCCAGATGTGAATGTATGCATCCAAAATTTGGTGAGTTGAGAATTTAATTGTGAGTTAATTTTATATTTTATGCAAATTTGATTCAGGTTCATTGTGTTTATTATCACAGTTACTCGGCCCAGATCTCTAAAGGTACATAGCAGGATACTGACACTTGCTAAAGCATGTGGGACCATAGCAGACTGCACTTTTGAAGAGCTGTGTGATCGAGTAAGTCTGTTTCCTATGCTGTTTCACCATCCTCCATTGAAATGAACTATATTAGTGAGTAATGTGTTGTTTTTACTGTTAGCCTGTAGGAGTCAGCGACTACCTGGAGATCTCTGCTGTGTTTGACACAGTTTTCATTCGAAACATTCCTTTGCTCACTTTGAACAAGAAGACGCAAGCCAGACGCTTCATAACTCTCATTGATGCACTATATGAACACAAGGTAAGTCATGGTGAAATTCTTGTGATTTCTGTTGGAAGGTCTTAAAGGAACCTCTCACAGTTTGGTGGAATATCTCCACAGGTTCGAGTCGTGCTGCAGGCCGAAGCTCTGTTAGATGATCTGTTTGTTCATGAACATCACGACCATCATGACACTCATGTTTTATTGGATGATCTGGGCATTTCAAGGGTAATTTACAAACTGTTGCCTATTCAAATTCTTTGAGAATTAAATAAGGAACCTTTTTTGTTGCAAGCTGAAATTTTGGGGTTGGTAAAATTTTTTTCTATTTGAATATATTTAAAAATGCTAATTATTTCTGTGATCAAAGCTGAATTTTCAATCATTACTCCAGTCTTCAGTGTCACATGATCCTTCAGAAATCATTCTGATATGCAGATTTGCTGAAAAATTTCTTATTATTATCAGTGTTGAAAACAGTTTTGCTGCTACACATTTTTGTGGAATCCGTGATGCAATTCATGATTCTTTGATGAAAGGACAATTCAAAAGGACAGCATTTGTTTGAAATCTTTTGGAACATAAATGTCTTCACTTTCAATTTTGACTAATTTATTGTATCCTTGTTGAATAAAAGTATTAATTTCTTTGATTAAAAAGTCTTACTGACTCCAAACTTTTGATATAGTAGGGTATATGTATGTGTTGCTCAATAAGACTGGCCAAAATGAGAGTAATGAAATCATGATTGAGAATGTTCGGTTTCGTTATGGTGGGTGGGGTGTGCTTAATTGTCATGAAAATAAAATGCTCCATTAATACTGCAAAATAAAACCCCTTACTAGTCTTAAAAAAATAAACTAGTTCGCCCAAAAATGAAAATTTGTTGAAATTTTACTCAAACTCAGGCCATCCGAGATGTAGAGGAGTTTGTTTCTTTATCAGAACAGATTTGTAGAAATGTAGCATTACATCACTTGCTCACCAATGGATCCTCTGCAGTGAATGGGTGCCGTCAGAATGAGAGTCTAATCAGCTGATAAAAACATCACTATAATCCACACCACTCCAGACCATCAATTAACATCTTAAGCCAAAAACTGCGTTTGTATGAAAAAAAAATCCATCAAGACATTTTTAACTTCAATCTGTTGCCTCTGGCTAAAATACAAGTCCATAATGCATAATATTGCTTTCTCTATTGAAAGCAAACTCATCTGCATCTCGGATGACCTGAGGGTGAGTCAGTTTTTAGGTGAACTGTTCCTTTAAAAATCGTTTGATTTTTAACCTTGGTGTGTTGATGATCTCTTCACATTGATGGGCAGCAGTGATTTGATTTTCTCTTTTAATGCATCAGGATGCAGGCAGCTCGCTGGCGATCTTTACAGGAGAAGAGGAGGTGTTCGCCTTCCAGAGGACAGTATCTCGCCTTACTGAGATGCAAACAGAGGAGTACTGGGTTGCAGGAGATCGGAGCTCTAAGTAGCTTTTATCATTACTAACTCCATATACACAGCGGCCATCTCAACTATCTTAAGATTCTAAAGAGTTCTGGGATCAACTCCATTTTGATTTGGTGAGGACTGTATTTTAATCAGAACTGTATGGAATAATGCTGCACTTTATAAACGCACATGCAAACACGAACGAGAGACTAGCCTCTTTTTGAGGTTTGGTCTTGAATAATAGGCAGGTTTGTTGGAAGAATGTGGATGTGGATCTGCCAAAGATGTGTTTTGAAATCAGGCTGCCTTTCTGGTTATATAAATGGTTTGTGGAATATTTTATTGACAACCTATAGTTGTCAGATAGCTGATATACAACCTATTTAAAATTGATTGCATTAAAATTATTTTAACTTTTATTGATGTCTGATTGTTCTGAAGCTTTCTCTAGTGCTTCTGTTTGCAGGTAGGTTTACGTGGTTTATTCACCATTATTTGTGACCCTGGGACCACAAAACTAAAAAAGCCTTAAGTCGCTGAGGTATATTTATAGCAATAGCCAAAAATACATTGTATGGGTCAAAATGATTGATTTTTCTTTTATGCCAAAAAATCATTATGATATTAAGTAAAGATCATGTTCCATGAAGATATTTTGTAAATTTCCTACTGTAAATATATTAAAACGTAATTTTTGATTAGTAATATGCATTGCTAAGAACTTAATTTGGACAACTTTAAAGGCGATTTTCTCAATATTTTTTTGATTTTTATGCACCCTCAGATTTCAGATTTTCAAATAGTTGTATCTCAGCCAAATATTGTCCTATCCTAACAAACCATACATCAACGGAAAGCGTATTTATTCAGCTTTGACATGATGTATACATCTCAATTTCGAAAAATTTACCTTTATGACTGGTTTTGGGGTCCAGGGTCACATTTGTGTCCAAAACATAATATGAGAATATTAGTCATGTTTATTTAGGTCTAATGAAGAAGACATGGTCGGACCTTTGCTGTGATGATACTTAAGCCAATCTCATACTTAGGATTAGGAATTTGTTCAACCTCCAAATTTTAAGTATTACATTTTGGTGTGTCTCTTGTCTGTGTGTGCTACATTGCGCATGAGTGATGCCTCAAATTTGTCAAATAACTTTTGTACACTTTTTTTGATTTTATTGTTCACCAAGTTATTTTTTTATTTAATATTCCTATTAATATTTTAAAATATGTTCTCCTTAATTTAAAAGTGCAAAACACCTCTACTAAAAAATAAGGAAATAAGTAGAACTTTAAAAATATGTATAAACAAAAAAATTACACTTATACTATGAGATAAAAACTCCAGTCATAGCTGGATAAAAGTGGGTCACATTAAAAATAATAACAATATGCCTAATTTCATAATAATACAGCAATGATGCTGTAATAGTTATTAATAATAATTGTAATAATAATACAAATATTTTGTTAATTATAATTAACTATATGTATCTATCTATCTGTCTATACAATTAAGAAAAATAAACCTATTACAGCAGATACCAACAGGACCTATGAAAAAATGATCGTATACATATATATTTCAAAGAATATACAAATGTAGTTACATTCTATTGCGTGCGAGGCACTTTGTCTAGAAACCATTATTCGAGAGAGTGTATTAAATAAGAGCTCTTGCGATGGCATATCTGTGTAATGTGAAGATGACTTGTGTGGCGGTGGATAGTGAGCTCCAGTGCTGCTCTCCGGCCCTTTAAGAAGCAGTTCCTCCCACTGGTTCCAGGGGGCGGATGATCTTTGTGTTGCTGTTCTTCTCTGTAGCTTGCAGCGGAGCAGCAGCGCATTAGGGGCTTTGGCAGTGCTGGATCGCGCGGGTTGCGGGACGCAACGTCCGGCTCCGACATGGAAGAGGGCTCATGGAGGTTTATTGGGGAAAACCGTGTTAGGACTCATTCGTGCTGATTTGCAGCGGGACGGCTGTGGAGGTATGGTTTGATGGTTTGAGGACACTTTCGCGCACGTTCAGCCCTTCTGATCGCTTTCAATCCGCGATTTTAAAAGGCGGCAGCTGCGTTCTGAAACAAAGTAACATTCGCATTATGATGTAACGTTACAGTGTAACATATTCGCAGCGCGACGTCGTGCAACAATGTAACAAATTCGACCGTCCGCTCCGTTCCATTCTTGATGCTTTTGAACCACGGAAGCTTCATTAAACGAGTCGAATGGGGGCATTTTCGCTCGTTTTGTCGTTTATTTAACTCTTAAAACTAAGATTCATAAAACGAATCCTTCTGTGTGCTGAAAGTGGCCATGAGCGCATTTGTAAATATTCCTAAAAATCTCACATCAATTCGATTCCTTAAGTGTCCCGCATTGAAATGTGGACTCTAGAAGTGACCCATTAATGGCATGCACGAGGGCACTGCTGCTGCTGTGTTCAGAAAAGCCGTCCATACATCATTCATTTGAAGGAGTCCAGGAAATATGGCAGAGGAGATAGATAAGCCCTTGGCTGTGGACGTCGACATAGACCCTGATTTCGAGCCCCAAAAAAGGCCAAGGTCCTGCACCTGGCCTCTGCCCAGACCAGAGTCCAATGCCGGGAAAGCAGAACCAGCAGAGGTGGGAATCATTCCTGAGGAAGAGGTGGATGAAAATGGCACTGATGATGCTTGTGCATTTAGTGGCATTACAAGCGCATCAAAGCCTGTCAGTGTGATAGAAGGAAACCAGGCTGTTGCTGCTGCTGCTGCTCCTGCCATAGAAACCAGTGCTGCTGTCAGTGATAAAGACTCCTACGGCTCTTCCCAACATGCTCTGCCCGCATGCAACGACTCCAGCATCAACGGTCTGATTCTTCAGCAGCCCAGAAAATCCTCTGCACGCAGGAACGCCTGGGGAAACTATTCCTACGCGGACCTCATCACTCAAGCCATCGAGAGCTCGCCCGAGAAACGACTGACATTGGCCCAGATTTATGATTGGATGGTCCGGAATGTGCCATACTTCAAGGACAAAGGTGACAGCAACAGCTCTGCAGGATGGAAGGTACGTCAGCTCAAAGAGACGGGCTGGTTTTTAACCTTGTCTTGCTTTACGTGCATATCAGGGACTGTTTGTGTTCTCGAAATCCATTTTGTTGCAGCTAATAGGGTGAATTCAGGTTCATTGGGACATCTCAACAGCAAAAAGTGTCCGAGTTTACGAGAATTCACCCCCCATATTGGTGCTTATATTCTTACAGGGTGCAACACGGATGCTGGAAATGTGGACAACTAGTCGTGTGTGGTTTGCTGATAAAGTGCATGCTGTTGTGGTCATGCCAAAGGGCGTTACAGCAGATAAAATGTGGAAAGTGCCCCTGATAAAAAGCTTTTAAATGCCTCTGCTTTCCTCATAATTTCACCAAGTACTGAAGCGTGATCAAAAGAACGAGATGTAGCAATATCTATAACATTTTCACTAATCATTCTTTGTATGATCAATAGGATCGCACCTTTTTTCATGAAAATAAACTCCAACAAAATAGGGCTTTTGCTATGCTCGCTTCTCTCATCCCTGTTTGATTTGAGGGATTAGCTTGGCCTGGAAAAGCAATTTATCCAACATGGAATCAAGTCTAATGAATGCTCTTGGTATAGCTGGATTTGAATTAGAGAAAAACCTCGGGAAATCCCTGTGCAATCCGGCAGATGTAAGGCTGTTGTGCAGATATTACATTTAAATAGATGATTTGGCACCTTCCCAAACAAGCCTTTTTTTTTTTTTTTTTTTTAAGTATTTTTATATTTTAATTTTTCTAAATATCTAATTAATTTTAAATTATCAAGTCACCATTATTTATATAGTGCTTTTTACAATGCAGATTGTGTCAAAGCAGCTTTACAGTATTAAACAGGGAAATAGAATAATTAATTTATAATTTGTTGTATTTAATATTTACACAATATGCCTAATTAATTTGAATAACTTTTGCCCTTTTTGCATAATCATTGAGACATTTAAGAGTCAATGTATATTTTACACATCATAATGATAGCAGTCCACAGTAAGTAGGTTAGTTGCCAAATTGAATGTTTAAATCCTGTGTATTTGCTAAAACAGACATATTGGTGATTCTGTAAAAAAAGGTCCAATGAGATTGTAGGAACAGTCAGCCATACTCAGTGCAGTTAAAGCCATCCTGCAGAGTGTTTGCATCTGCCTGCCACTGAAGCAGGCAAAAAAGAGAAACCATGGGCATATCGTCAGTGTCAGGGTTGCTATTGGCTGTTTCGTCCCCACCTCCACTCCTGATTGGCTCTCGGCTACAGCATAAGAAGCAATCAGCTGACTGGAAACTATGTAGGTCAGTGTGTAGCAACTTGGTGTTTGACTGAGAGACAGCGTTGTGTGTAAACTGGCGGCGCTCCAGTGCTGTTCTGAGTGGTGCTTTGCTCAAAAGGGACTGCATCATGACTGTCAGATGATTTCAGACCCTCTTTTCATCTATTATAGTTATTTTTCATGGTCCTGTGTAGATTTAATTAAATAGAAAGCAGCACCACACAATCTTTAAAATGATTTGCAGTGCTACATTCACATAATCTGACACTCTATTTAATGCAGTGGTTTACTAATGCAAATTTTATGAACAGATAAATCTCATGAAAACTGTCGAGAACAAACCTAGGTCTTGGACTCAAAAACATTAGGATATAATAAACATATAGAACATATGTCAAATATGCTCTTCAGTTGCAGTTGTTGTTGTAATTGCAGGAAGAGCAAACATGAATAAATTAAATATTCAAACTGGTTTGAACCCTGATTTAATTTGTCATTGAGGACACTGCTCTTATTCCAAGTCTAGTTGGTAATGATCTGTTTTGTAATCAATGTAGCTATGAATGTCAACAAACAATCTGATGGATGTCTCTTAGATTAGATTCTCAATCCAATCAATTCAGTTAGCCAGTTTAACAAAGCAAAAAAAGGGAAACTGCTTACGTACTTTAAGAATGAGTTAGGAAACATGTTAGTCTTGGATTAAATCCAGTAATAGACTTGAAGCAAAGGCATTAATGGAAGTGAAGTGTTATGAGGTCAGCCCATTCACTCTTTGAGAGGTTCAAAGGACATGGACAGTGTTGAGCAGTGTTGAGTTCATGGACCATGTTGAGTCCAGCTTTCTACAAGATGTAGCAGGCACTGCATTTGATAAATTCACACCATTTTTAGACTCAGTCTGCTTGACTATTCATCAAAGAGGAAAACCATGTCTCGCTTGTGAATTTGATCACATCCCCTTATGCTGCATTATGGATAGCTGAACCTTCTGTTCTGCAGTCCACATTAATGCAGCTTTACTGCACTGCACTGCACTCTTAAACTTTGTGCACGATTGAGGAAGTCTACATGAATCTTTCAGCTTTCTCTGCAGTAGTGTTGTCACGGTACCAAAATTTCAGTATTCGGTACCAATACCAGTGAAAATCCACGGTTCTCGGTACCAATTTCGTACCGCAAAACACACTGGAAGAGGATAGCTTTCTGATAGCGCATCAAGAACCGGGTTGACCGGGTACTCGGTACCACCGGTACTTAAAAAAACCTGGTACTGTAACGTTTTCATTTTTTTAGTACCGACTTGGTACCGAAATACCGGGTCTTTTGACAACACTACTCTGCAGTAGGAAAAATTTTTAGATAGTTGACTAGAATTATGGTTCATTACTACCTTGAGAAAATCCTGGTCACCAAATGTGATGTTTCATTAGTGATTACACTGGTGTGCCTAAAATTGCCTGTTTTCTGTTGCATACGTGAAATGCCAAAAGCCGAACACTCAGAGTTACCCAGTTGAATTTCACAGCACAGACCAATTATCTGCACAGCCCAACGGACAACGTAGAGTGGGTTGATTTACTTCTAGATTGGTCTTGACCACAGAGCCCAGACCAATTTGAACAGTGTGTGTGAAATTCAAATGAGAACAGTCCTTTTTTTCTATAAAGCTGCTTTGGAATATTGTATACTTTAAAAGTGTTGTGCAAGTTTAGTTGAATTTCGGCACAGGCTTTTTGATTGCAAACCTCAATGTGAACCACAAATGCCTACTTGTTACATTTTTTTTTTTTTTTTTTTAAAGTTTAATTAAAAAAAAAAAACATTTATTTGTTTATATCCTTATTAACTAATCAGCTAATCAAGGTCTTCTAAAGGATCACTTGAAGCAGGTTGGAAATAAAATTTCACAGGACAGTGGTACCCAGCTGCAGGGGTTGAAGACCTAGGGCCTAGGCTTTAAATTCTTGACCTACCCAAATGGACTCTATTGGTCAGAGGGGTCACATGACCCTTCAATCTCTGTTTAAAGCAATCAAGTCAGAGTGGCATTGTTCGTCACTCAACATTGTGCTCTGCAGAGTTCAAGATTATTTTGCTTGAACATGAGGCCATTATTATACTTCTTAATGGCCAGATTGTTAATATATGGAGCTGAGGAATCTAAAACAAGAAGTATATGAATGTTTCAAGCATGTCTTATGATGCACAGCTCATTATCTACTCTTCTCTTTTTGCAGAACTCAATACGACATAACCTGTCACTCCACAGTCGCTTTGTCCGGGTCCAGAATGAAGGAACAGGAAAAAGTTCATGGTGGATGGTTAACCCTGATGGTGGAAAAGGGGGTAAAGCTCCACGGAGACGTGCTGTTTCAATGGACAACAGTAATAAGCTCATCAAGAGCGCCCGTGGCCGTGCCGCAAAGAAGAAAGCCGCTCTTCAGGCCACTCAGGAGGGAAGCTCCGAGAGTTCCTCCAGCCTGTCCAAATGGACCGGCAGCCCGACTTCCCGCAGTAGCGACGAGCTAGACGCTTGGACGGATTTCCGTTCCCGCACTAACTCTAATGCCAGCACCCTAAGCGGACGCCTTTCCCCAATTCTTGCCAACCTTGAGTTGGATGAAGTTCCCGATGACGACTCCCCCCTGTCGCCCATGCTGTACTCAAGCCCTAGTAGTATGTCTCCGTCCACTGGACTGACCGAACTACCCCGTCTAGCTGATCTCGCAGGAACCATGAACCTCAATGATGGCCTCTCTGACAACCTAATGGACGACCTTCTAGATAACATTAGCCTGACGGCTTCCCAGTCTCCAGGCCAAGACAAAAGTGGGGCCAACCTACAGGGAAGCCCTGTGTTTACCTTCAGCTGCTCTGGGAGCAGTCTGGCAATTCCCTCTGGCAGCTATGGCACCAACTCCATGTTTAGCCCTCCATCCGTCACTGGCCTGAGGCAATCTCCAATGCAAACGATCCAGGAAAACAAGCAAGCCACGTTCTCCTGCGGTTCCCTCTTTAGCGATCAGAGTCTGCAGGACTTGTTCAACTCCGAGTCCAACAGTCGCAGTGATGTCCTTCTTACCCAATCTGATCCGCTTATGTCGCAAGCCAGTGCCTCCCTTTCCTCCCAGAATGCCCGTCGCAGTGTCCTGTTGTTGCATAATGACCCTATGATGTCCAACCAGGCTGGGCCTGTAGGACAAGTGGGGCTCAAGAAGGTGTCGCCATCTGGATGGCGGATGAACTGTGTCTCGAGCAGTGAGTCAGACTACCAAAGCTTGATGAAGCAACATCTCCAACAGTCTCCCTTCAGAAGCACATCTATGCAGCTCAACTCCTCCGATTCGTTATTGGCAGGTCTCAACGGCAGCGGGACCTCCGTTCAGTTGGTGTCTCAGGACCAATTCCCATCTGACTTGGATCTCGAGGCGTTAAGTGGCAGTTTCGATTGCGACATGGACGCCATCACCCGCAACGATCTGATGGATGCTGAGGGCCTGGAGTTCAGCTTCGATTCGCATCTCATCTCCTCTCAGAATGCTAATCTGACTTCAGGGAACTTCTCCAGTGCCAAACGAACCTCCTCCCAAAGCTGGGTGCCAGGTTGATCCAGCCAGGCCCAGGAATGTAGGGAAGGGTCAGAACACCGCATTTGAGCCAACTGTCCACTGTAAAGCAACTGTACATTATGCTGTAGAAAAGCTATTTGACATCTATTAGAATGAGTCAATGTCAATGATTTACCCAGTCGGTGTTGTAGTTTTGTGGCTGTGTGTTTTGTATCGTCATGATTGAGGCTGGTTTGATGGACGTTGTGAAGAGTTTCAACAAATTCAACCTTGAAGTGCTTGCAGGTTAAGGTATTGAACTCAGCTGCTGGAATACGGTAAGTGAAGTACTGTAGAGAGTAGGTTGTTTATACGTATATGATGGCTTGGCCAACAGTACTTCCCTTAGTTCATCTAGAATACAAAATCCGAAAGCATTTAGAAGTGTGGAAAGTGTTGAGTCAGTTTGAAAGTCAAGCAGAAATCTTGAATACTCATTAGTAAAGTGGTCCCTACAACAAGTGGAGCACCGTCGAGAGAAGGTTGTCTATATATAAAGGTTTGGGCAGCTGTTCTTCCTCTAGTCCACTTAGAATATAAAATCCCCAAAACCCACCATTGCGTACAAGGGTGCCTACACACTAGAGAAAGCTCTTTTGAAATAATTTGGGAGTGTGGAAGTCAGTTTGAAAACCAAGTGAGAACTTGGTTTCTCAAGAAGTGATTGGTCAACTGGTACCTACGACAAGTGGATGATTGTAGAGTGAAGGTTGTCTATATATGAAGGCATGGACAATTGAACTTTCCTTGGTTCGTCTAGAATAGAAACATTTCCAAAACCCACCACTGTGTACAAGGGTGCCTATACACTAGAGAAAGCTCTCATGAAAGCAATTGGGAATGTGGAAAGAGTCGCTCAGTCAGAACACCAACTGAGAATCTTGAATTCTTATTGGTCAGCTGGTACCTATATGGAGGATCATATGGGGCTTTTCCACTGCGTGGTACTACTCGGCTCGGCTCGGCTCGCGTTTCCACCGCAGTTTAGTACCGCTTTAGAGTGGGTGGGATTATTCACATTTCGTTATAGTTGCGCCGCCTCTACTGCTGCGAATCCTGAAAAACATTTTCATTCCGTGTCTCCCCATCAAGTTCTCGCTGGATCCGCTCCTCTGCTATCAGCAAGAGGAACATCTGTACTTCCTCAACAGACAACGAAACAGCCATTGTTTGGTTGTTAAAAAAAGGTGTGCTCGTTCAAAACCGTTGTGTTCGATCCTTCGCTGGCTGTGCTGATTTAAATCTAGCGGCTCTGTTGTGTCTCGTGTCACAAGTTCAGTGACGATTCTCTCCGGCCAATCAGTGATCAGCAGAGTTTAAACGTCACGTTTTGGTAACGGTAGATTCACTTGGAAAAGTACCAGGTACTGTACCCAGTGGAAAACCCCCCAGAAGTGATTCGTACCGAACTGTACCGTGCCGTACCATGCAGTGGAAAAGCAACAATAGAGAGAAGGTCACAACTGAACCTCCCTTGGTTAATCTACAATACAAAACCCCTAAAACCCACCACTGCATATGAGGGTGCCTACACAGTAAGAATCTCTTATGAAAGCATTTGGGAGGGTGGAAAGAGTTGGGTCAGTTTGAAAACCAAGCAAGAATTTGAATTCCCATTAGTCAGCTGGTACTTACGACAGATTGCACTGCAAAAACAGGTAAAATATTGTCAATTTATGGTTGTGTTACTTTGGCAAACCCTTTGCGTTTTCTTCTACATCATTGTGATACTTTATCCCAATTGAAATCAAGTCAACTCTAGTCTGTAGGTGCCCTTAGGCTGTTGTAGTTTCTTGCAACTTTGATCGAGATTAATAGATTTATAGTCCTCGAAACAAACACTTGCCTTTTGCCAAACTGGTCCTCAGGACAATTGCAGAAATGGCCTGTTTACAACACAAACTCTTGAGAATGTTTCTGTTGTCCAAAAAAAAATGGCCATGAAAAATCCATCTTTTTCTCCAACTATTTTTTTTTTTTGTGAAACTGAAAATGGGAAGAGGTTGTGTTTTTGTGAAACCAGTGAACATGATGTATCCTTGACACCTTTTACAGAAAAGTGAACTGTGATATGATAATAAGCTATATATTTAGTGTTCTGCTGTATGAAACTAGTTTGTCAGTGTTTCCCATGGATTTCCTAACACAACCTGTGCATTTATCTTGCTCAGAATTCTTGAACACGAGCATCTCCGTCACCTCTAAACCGTGTTAATTTCCGAAGTCTGCCATTTTAGAATAGATTATGAGCTATATATTTGTATTTCTGTTTGTACACACACACACACACACACACACACACATAGGACCTCATTCATGAAGTCATTGCTGTATACATTGTTTGTAAAATCAATGGTTTTATGAACAATTTACACATCTGTAAACGGTTCTTAAATGATTGCATTCAATGCCATTTAGTGTTTGTGTGCATTTACTGTACATTGACATGCATGCAACCTTTTACCCAAGAATGGGTTTACAAAATTCTCTGCAAACCATACATTTCTGTTGTGCTTGTATTTCATGAATGAGGCCCGTAGCGCTTATGTTTATATGTGCTGTACACTGAATATATATGTGTGTGTATACACATAAATATTGGATTCATTCTAGAGATAAGGTATATTAACAGTTAAACATTTTGGAGCGCTGATTAAGGACCACTAGATGTTTGTGTATTTGTAGCAGGAAAAAAATGAAGCTAAAAGCATTTGGTGCTAAGTGAAATTGTGTTGGGTCAGTTCATACTGCTGGCATGTCACGTTCTTAGCATTTATGTGTATATAGCTACACAATGGCTGGTGCTAATAGAAAGCGTGTATCAGTTGTGATGGCAGTGTGTTTTAAGCATCCTAATAGTTTAAAAATGAAAGGCAGCCACATTGTAGTATTACAGTCTGTACGGATAAGCTATGTAAGAAAGCATCTATGTTGTACTGTATTTCACTGTTGATCTTGAACATGCCAGACAACCAAATTCAAGGCTGATGAGAAATAATGCAACTATTCTGTTTGATGATATAGTAGTGTCATTCAGGGACAACTTGCAGATGTTTCAGTAGTTACACCTAATGTTGTTTTAACATCACTGTCGAATGTACCTTTTGTTAAGTTAACTTCACACTCAGAATTTTCTTAAGCTTCTTAAGCACTGATTTTTATAATCTGCTTTTTATAATCAGCTGGAGTCACAGAATTTAAGATGACTATAAAAAGTTGATTGTGCTGTGTTTACCTTTGTTTACTTGGTTTCATATTGTGTAATCCGTTTTCAGCATCAAAATGTGCTTCCTTTAAATGCTTTTAATTCTGATATTTTCATGTTGTTTGTGTAGGATCATTGTTCTTCTCAAAAGAACTGCTACAATCTTCATTCATTTTGAAGTTTAATCTTAAAGAGGGAATTAACACGAATTGAGAACGTAATCTGCATGTGTATCACCTTGCACCACAATTGGCTGTTAGTTACCATTCACTCAATGTTTGCTTGACTTTACCTGTGTATTTCAATTTTGGATAATGTAAACCAGGTAGTGCAAGACAAGGTGCATGTAAATAAAGCTTGTACAACAGAATGCGTTTCTGTAGTCTTTATTTTAATTTGTTGTAAAATAAGCAAGTGATTTAAAGGAATAGTTCACAAAATTTACTTAAGGTTGTTTCTTCATTGGAACAGATTTGGAGAAATTTAGCATTACATCACTTGCTCACCAATGGATGCTCTGCAGTGAATGGGTGCCGTCAGAATGAATGCCCGAACGGCTGATAAAAACATCACAATAATCCACAAGTAATCCACACCATTCCCGTCCAACAATTTACATCATGTGAAGCAAAGTTGCATGTAAGAATCCAACCACATATTTGTTAAGAACTGTATTGGTTTCCTTTTGTATTTGTCGCTTAATTTGTGCACGTTTCTCATATGATTCATATGAGACAACTGTTGCACTGGAGGGAGCAATGTTATGGATTATGGACTCCTATTTTAGCTGGAAGCAAAGGTTTGAAGTTAAAAATGGCTGAATGATGGCTTTTTATAAACATGCAGCTTTTTACTTCACAAGATGTTAACTGATGGACTGGAGTGGTGTGGATTATTGTGATGTTTTTATGAGCTGTTTGGACTCTCATTCTGACGGCACCCATTCACTGCAGAGGATCCATTGGTAAGCAAGTGAAGGAATGCTAAATTTCTACAAATCTGTTCTGGTGAAGAAACAAACTCATCTACATCTTGGATGACCTGAGGGTGAGTGCACTGTGAGCAAATTAAAAACAAATTTTTTTTTTGGTGAACTATTCCTTTAATGCCTGCTCATTCAAACTGTTTACCTGTTCGGAAAATGTAATGCTTTTAAACCATTATTTGCATAATTGCAAACAATATGCAATGAGGTCTAAGAGTCAGTTGGCAAACATCCTCTCATTTATTTGATTTTAGTGCCACAGTTTTATGTGGTTCATGAATGCACATAGACTTCATTTAATTGAATAAAACCCTGTTTACTCCCCAGACCATACAGCGTTCATCTAAAATACACTTTTAAAAACAACAGGGTTCAAACTATAAATAGCCTACTCCAGGTTATGTGGCTTAAAAGAGTACCTTTTTAAACACGTTTAACAGGCCATAAAGTTATCTTTGGTTTTCAGAAGCTCATGTTTGCTCAAATATCATGTACATTCAAATTTCTCACCTCCATTTTCTTCCTGTTATGCTTCAGTTTTGACACTTTAAAAATAACCTCAGAGCATGATGTTGCCATTACTGTTCTTGACAGAGAAAATGATGCGACTGAGGTGTGTTTGACTTCAGTCTCATCAGACTATCATTTTTCCAAAAAGTTTTAGGTTTTGTCACATGGATTCTAACCACTTTCCCAAACTGACCAAGTCTGTGATGGCCCAAAGAGAATGTCAGTGTCTGGACCGTTTCAGCCTAGTGCTTCCAAGAAGGTTCAAACCTTTGCCAGGTCTTTTCTTATTCCTCTATGAAGGCCGTCCAGATTGTCTATGGTTACCAAGGAGACGTGTCTTATGGAAATTTATGAAATGTTCACTCCGACGGAGCCCCTGCTGTTGTGTTTGATTGCTGATATTTTGCCAAAATTAGTGTGTATTCATGCACACGTAGCAATCACACGCTCATTCATACGTGCTGTACAATCAGTGAGATTGATTGTGTTAAGAAAATCATTCATAATGTTTTACTGCTCTCTGCAGGGAGGAAAACCACCCCCTAGTGACCATAGCTGTAAAATGGGCCCCGTGTCCTTGTGCACTCATTGGTGGGACAGCACCTTGGTGAGGATCTCTGATTGGCTATCGGCTGCTTTTGCCACGAACCAATCGGTGCTTCTGTATCCAAGTCAACTTGGAATGTTGAGCTATTTAAATCCAGAGGAGATGGATCTGATTTATTGACTTTTACATTGAAAATCGCTTGATTGAAAAGTTCATCACTGTATATGTTTAAAGTGACAACCATCTAAGTATTCTTTACAAAAATATATTTGATTTACGGCATATTTCCATCTCACACAAAGGCCTGACTACCTCGGTTAAAATAAGCTGTTTGATGTCTTGCATTTGATAAGATCAGTATAAGAACTATTTCATGCGAAACATAATGAATAAAAAAATAATTAAAAAAAAGAAAAAGATCTTGCTGATGACTTGAGGTTTGGCTTCGAGACAGGTCTGTCTTTGCTTGTGTCGGCACAATAATATTAAGGCACTTGACTGAGTTTTCATCGCCCTCTGCAGGTTAAAAGCAGAATGCATGCAGGTTGAAAGAGTAGGGGGAGGCTGCAGAGTGCAGACCAGGGGCCTCATTTATAAAATGTTGCGTATAAACCGTACTAAATTTGTTCTAAGATCATTTCGCAAAAGTGCATAAGTGCGATTCAGAGTAAACGAACGTGCGCACAAAAACACGTGCGTCCGCCTCTCTTCCAGATGTGACATTTATAAATCGCAAATGATTG